ACTTGTTCTTCATAACCTCTGCAATTCACTCTGGTATGCTGGATATTAGCTTCTGGGCCAAATCCTGACTGATGGCGATCCATTCTTGCCTTATTAGCTCTCTCGGAGTTGATTTGTGGGCTTCTGCTTGTCCACTCGCCTTTTGAGGACTGACCACAGGTTTTCTATGGGATTGAGATCCGGGGAGTTGCCTGGCCACAGATCCAAAATTTCAATGTAATGATCTTTGAGCCACTTCTTTATCACTCTTGCTTTATGACATGGTGCTCCATCACGCTGGAAAATGCACGGATCATCACCAAACTGCTCTTGGATCGTTGGAAGAAGTTGCTCTTGCAGGACGTTTTGATACTATTCTTTATTCATGGCAGTGTTTTTGGGCAGAATTATGAGAGAGCCCACTCCCTTGGTCCCTTGGACCAACCCCACACATGGATGGTCTCAGGATGCTTCACTGTTGGCACAACACAGGACTAGCGTTCACCTTTTCTTCTCTGAACAATCAATTTTCCAGATGTCCCAAACAGTCGGAAGGGAGCTTCATCAGAGAAAATAACTTTGCACTAGTCTTCTGCTATCCAATCCTTGTACTTCCTGCAGAATTTCAGTCTGTCCTTGAAGTTTTTCACGTTTTTTAGCTGGTCATTTTGTGTCAGGATCAACAAACAGTGAAATTTGTTTGTTTTTTTGTGAAAAGTCAATTTTTTGGCTAATTAAGCTTTTAGCAATTATTTAAAATGCATCTGATCACTCTACACAATAATCTAGAAACAATGTGAATGAACACCACAACAGCTGAAGCTGGTAATGATCTTTGAGCCACTTCTTTATCACTCTTGCTTTATGACATGGTGCTCCATCACGCTGGAAAATGCACGGATCATCACCAAACTGCTCTTGGATCGTTGGAAGAAGTTGCTCTTGCAGGACGTTTTGATACTATTCTTTATTCATGGCAGTGTTTTTGGGCAGAATTATGAGAGAGCCCACTCCCTTGGTCCCTTGGACCAACCCCACACATGGATGGTCTCAGGATGCTTCACTGTTGGCACAACACAGGACTAGCGTTCACCTTTTCTTCTCTGAACAATCAATTTTCCAGATGTCCCAAACAGTCGGAAGGGAGCTTCATCAGAGAAAATAACTTTGCACTAGTCTTCTGCTATCCAATCCTTGTACTTCCTGCAGAATTTCAGTCTGTCCTTGAAGTTTTTCACGTTTTTTAGCTGGTCATTTTGTGTCAGGATCAACAAACAGTGAAATTTGTTTGTTTTTTTGTGAAAAGTCAATTTTTTGGCTAATTAAGCTTTTAGCAATTATTTAAAATGCATCTGATCACTCTACACAAATAATCTAGAAACAATGTGAATGAACACCACAACAGCTGAAGCTGCAAACTTGCAAAACTTGTGCAAAACACAAAATTGATGTCACTGCCAAAACTTTTTGGCCATGATTGTACATTGTACTTATTTTTGATGCAAGTACATAGTAGTTTGTACATAGTAGCCACTTAATATAAAGTGAGACCAAAAAATCAATTCAGTTATGCAAACTAGTGCTTGAAATAAGACAAATCACATTTCAGCATTCAAATTTCACAATTACATCATTGCAGCCAGTAACAATTTCAATGCTGAACAATTGTAGACTTTCAAGAATAAAATGAACACAAAACCAAAACAGATAGCACACATAAGGCTATAGTTTAGGCTGAATAAAATGCAGAATTGTAATACGTAAAATTAAGTAAAACAATTATTTAAAACAATATAAAATGCTGGAGATTTTAAAACAGAACAATCTTAAACGTCAATGTTTATCAACTATTCTACATCATTATAAAACAAATTCCACTTCCAGTGTGCATCTAAATCATTTTTCATCCTTGAGATGGTTCTGTTCATCCAAATACACCATGCAACCACTGTCATCGAACATTTCATGCAATAACTGGAAATACTTTTTAACAATAACATTTTATCCATATTTAGCAACTGCTTAAAAACAGCGATGTCAACTTCCTTCGCTTTCATCTTTAGCATTATGTGGCACTAGTAGAAAAACACACTAAGAAATATCTCGTTAGCACAAAAAAACTCCTCAATATAAACACATTTCTTGTATATTAATATAATTAATAATTGAGAATAATATTAGTGTGCATTAAAACTGATTACAGTAACAGAGGAAGCACAAATAATAATCAGTGTGAAAGTGTTGTGTAACAGGTTGAAACTCCACTGTAGACCTCATTACATTATATGAGAGAATAAACAAGCTCTTTTATTAAAAAACCTGAATGCCAGTTACTCCTTACAGATCAAAACAGAGTGGAGGGAATCTTGTCATTTCACCTTAAAACTGCTTCTAAAGTGCTTCTTAAAAGAGAAATTTACTGAAAATGTTTGAGCGTTGTAATATGTTTTAACAATCTCCTGTTTCCCCAAATAATGTGAAATAATGGATTTCTTAGACCAATATCCAAAGACGTGTCCTGATCTTTGTTAATGCAGAGAAATCTAATAAAAAAAACACTGCAGTCAAGCATGCAGCAGCAGCTGAAAGGGGATTCTGGGTGGTCTGATACTCACTGGTGGTCATCTTCTCTGTAGGGCATGCCGGAATACCATGGCTGATGGCCCACTGTTCTGCTCCTTTGCCCACTAAAAAACTGACAAAGTAGAGATGTGACTTATTTCCTATAGCTAACAGAATACACTTGCAACATTTGTCAGAATGCCAGAATGTTTTGTCATGCACTAAGTTTGTTCCGTTTTGCTGCATTACATTCATGTATAATAGTGTATTCTGTGTATACTGCAATTGAGATGCTGATGTTACTTGTTTTACAAATGTTTTTCCCCTTAGGCATCAATAAAGTATGTCAGTCCATCTATATGTCTAAGCTGATAGCCAGGAAGCCAACATCAGAGAGCTTGGCTCACCAGGGAGGGATCCTGCCAGCTGAAAGCTTCCCCTTCTGAGTTTCACTTAATAGTCTTCTGGCTACCAGCACCGGGTTTTTGATTCCTGATAGAAAGAGCAGCATTAGTATCACTTTCACTCAAGACAGCTTTGAATACAGTATAAGAAACCATTTGGCTTTTTCATGCACTTCTGATGAAGGATAATGCAGTTCATTGGAGTTCACTGCAGTACATTTATCATCTAAAGTAAAAAATAAAAGACAACCTGTCTTTTAGCCTTGCATTTTTGTATTCTTGCATGCACAAAATGCATTTAGCCACATTCTTATAAAAGCCTGAGGAGGGTGGAAGTCGGCCTTTATTTGTTTTGCCTGAAATTCGAATAGCACCTTCACCACATGATAAAAGGCTCCAACCAGCCTCGCCAAAATTTCTAAAAGCACTCACCACTCAAGGCTCCAACAGCTCCGTAATTTAAGGACTTCCCATCCATGATGCTGGCATCACACTCAATCTCTCCCGAGAGGTTCAGGTTGGAACCGGTACCCGCATTGGTGAACGGGGAGTCCTGTAAATAAGCATCAACCTTAAAGACTAATTTCTGTGAGCTCAACAAAAATATAAACAAAAAAAATCGGTGTTAAAGAATAGTCTTAATATATATTGTATATATGAAGTACTAAAATTACTAATACAGAAATGAAAATAAAGCTATACAGAAAATACCAAAAATTACAAAAGGACATAAAATCATTCAAACTAAGCTAAAACTTAAAAAGTGAAAATATAAAAATAAAAGCTACTATTTTTTTGTAGATTGTTGAATTTGACTTCCTTGCCATCCCATTAATATATGATCATATGTTTTCTATATATTTTCTTTCTAAGAGTCTCTATGCAGTCATAACCAGAGTTGGTGTGTGGTTGTTGTGATCCACTATCACCTCTAGCTCGATAAGAGCTGCTGTCACGGCCTCCAGCGCCATTCCTCCAGCTCTGAGCCTGTCCACAGCCTGAAACACATTAAATCACAACTGATGACAGCAACCCCACTTCTGCCAATGCGTAAAAGAAAAAATTCAGTGTTTATTTTTGTTCTACTTAGGATTCAGGATCTTTATGCAGAAAAGACACTAAAATAATCTAGACAAAACTGAAAAAAAAATGTATAATCCAATACAAAGAGCTTAAAAAGAAAATAAAGCTGCAGTGTTTTCCACTTGACAAGCCTCAAGCAGACAGCGTGGAACGGTATATTAAGCTGGGCAGCAGCTCGGGCTGCTGCTGGTGTCATGTTATCAACACATAACTCAAATTCCCTGGCACAGGTGTTTTACTCGAGCCTGATCCTTTCTTTTCATCCTTTACACAGCACTTTGGATGAAGAAAAGCACTGCATTGCAACTTGCCAACCTATGCACTACAGCTATTACAATTTTGTTAGCATATCTTTTTGTATTCTGGCAATGAAAGAACAGTCTGCAAAAAATAATCAATCTTAGGTTCAAAAACATGACATAATTCATATCAAAACATCTTGCAAACTGAGCTGGGAATGAAAACTGATTATATCATTGAATTGACGTCTTCTCTATGTGACCTCTGACAGAGCTATCCAAAGGTTACAGTTGACAGCAGAAGAATCTTAAGTTTTGAATGAAGAATCACATGCAACTCACTCTCTGGCAAGCTCTCTTGCACACATGTTTGTATTCCTTGGCTTTGGATTCTGAATGATACCCTGCCCCTGAGGAGATAAAAATCATCAAAAATAAAAGAGATGCATTCAGTTAATTTCTTACAATGAGTCTGCAGTTTTTGCTTGTCTCACGAAAACCTTTTTATAAGCTATTTTCTTACAGTTAAAGTGAGTTTCATAAATGAAAAGTCTTCATGATCCATAAATGGAAATTTCCCTTTAAAGATTAAAAAACAGTTTGCCAGAAAAGTTTAGTGTCATTATATATATATATACACACATTTGTTATTTTTCTGTTATTTTTCATACAATGACAGTTCATTGTAGTAACCATATGTCAAGTTGTAGAAAGTACAAAAACACCGGAAAAAAGTACTATACATGTAGACTTATACTTCAAGTCTTCAGAAGCTATACAATAGGCCTGAAATTTAAGGCCGTTATTGACAGAAAGTATTCAAAGCCCTCAAATTTCATTCATCAGGATTGACGTCCTTAATGTCAAAGGCCAATGTTTCTCATGCATGTTGTTGAATATGCAGAATGAAGAATGACATTTGAGAGCAGAAGCAGATGGGGAAATTATCAGCAAATAAGAACTTAAATTACAGCCCGTTAGGCTTTTGTATGGCTTCAGAAGACTTGAAATACAGGGCACAAGTCATATGGACTTTTATTGTACTTATTCAATATATTTTGGTCCCTTTTAATGCTTGATAAACATTTTAAAGTGTTGTTATATGCAATTCTTGTGTCCCAAAAATAACTACAAACTGGTTTGGAATGACATGCGGGTGAGTAAACAATTACATGATTTTATTTTTCAGTGACCTAAGGAAATCTTCATATTTAAAACATGAATCAATCAATCAACTTAAAGTGCCCAAATTATGCCATTTCAAATATTGCCTTTCATGCAGTGTGTAATGTAGCTGTATGTAAATATAAACGATCTGCAAAGTTGTAAAGCTGAAAGCGCACGATAAATAAAGTTATTGTCTCCCAAAATAAAGAATCGACTCTGAACAGCTGAAACAAGTCATTAGTAATTCGAATCCCACTTCCGTGATGGCTACACGTCACGGGGTAACACATTTGCATAATGCGCACCTATGTTCTACATGTTGGCCGGCCGCGAACTTGACCCCGCCCACAAACACGTCATTCTACTGACAACTGCTTCTCTAATCTCGGGGCGTTCAACGCGGTATTCACAAAACCCTTGCTGTTGAAAGATGGATCAGTATCCTGTTTATTTGGGCCAGCTGCTCCACTGAATCACAACCTGTAAGTATGATAAATAAAAGACCTTTATACTTTCTATAGAGCGTTCAAAATACAGAACTGTTGAAATAGGCGTATCGTTTCCGACACGCGCTGCACGCCGTAGACCAATCACAACAGACTGGGCCATCTGACTAATCAGAGCAGAGCAGGCTCACGGAAAGGAGGGGTTTAGAGAGACTGAATCTTTGAACTGCTTTGAATGAATTGTTTGAGAATCGCTGGAAAATAAGGTGATATTAAACGCATATTTTGAGAAAACGAAAGCGTTTTTTGACCTTGCATGCATGTAATCCTATTGTAGGAGACTCCAAAAACAATATTAGGAACCATAAAAATGGCATAAGAGGGGCACTTTAAATTAGACCATTACTGATTCAACTAAATCTGTTCCAAAACACGTTTATGCATAAATGGATTATGGTAAAGTGTTTTTTTATTATTTACTAAGGGACAAAATTTCACCTGCATGAACCAGCACAAACCCCATAGCTTCGCCGTCACGACGGGAGACAGTGCTGTTCAGAAAAGACCCTGAATTTAGTGGAGACACAGTCTCCTTGCAATCTGTCGAGTTTTTTAGATTTTCCATGACCCGTATTCAGTGTAGCTTGCATTTTGACCCATCATTCACTCATAACTCCAAAACATTTCTCCAAGTCCTGGAAGCCAAAAAAGAAAGTGAGTTATCATACCTTCAGAACTCACCTTAAAGAGAGTGAGTTATTATAACTTCAGAATTCAACTTACATGTAAAGGCAATTATATCTAACTCAAATTTTTAATATTGACACATTTTGACAGTTACAACAATGACAGATTCCTTGTATTTTAATGCATCCCTATACATCTCTCACTTTGAAAAGTAATACTCGGATCAGAAACATGCTTTCAGAAACATAACCAAGCAACTACCTATTCGCGTAGAAACTCATATTATATTCCGTTGATGCTCTTTTTACATGCATCAACTACTGACAATTTCAGTCCTAAATACAGATGAAAGGATAAAGATTGCAAAACTCACTCGAGTGAAGACTTCAGGTGCAGAGCGCACATCTCCACAATCATACGCATGGCTCAGCATCTCTACTGATAACACACACACGCAGATTGCACTGAATTATGAATGTAGTTGTGTGTCTGCTGCATGATTGTGATATGATGTGATAATAAGCGGCGCATGTGCTCGCGTCACACCAAAACACTTCCTGGTTCAGTGACGCATGTGACCGTGTGACTGCAGCAGCGGCCCTCAGCGGCAGAGCCATGCACTGCGTCTCATCAACTCATCAAACAAAAATGCCTGTGAAAAGCAGCATAATTTACTCACTCTCAAGTTGTTTTAAACCTGAATTAGTTGCTTTCTTCTGTCAAACATAAAAGTTATTTTGAAGAATGTAGGTAAACAAACAGGTGCTGGTCCCCAGTAACTTACATATAATTTTTTTCCTACTATCAAAGTCAGTGTGGACCAGAAACTATTTGGTTACCCAAAATATCTTCTTTTGCATTCAGTGTGTGCGCTTCAGGTGTACGCGCTCAGAAAAAGCACATGTTAGAAATGTTTAACCGGCAAGGCTTTAAAGCACATTTAAATAATGCAGTTCTTGCATATCACATACTCTTTGTCGATTATTATTTTACTCACACTGTCCACCATCCCATTAAAAACCTTAGGCTAGTTACAGGGGCGGCGCTAGGGGTGGGCTAAAGGGGCTGAAGCCCCGAATCTTTTTATTACCATAACTTGTGCGCATCTAGATTGAGTTTTCATGTGCATTAAAATCAATTATATTAAACCAGCACTTAAACAGCAAAATCCATCTACTGCCGAGCTCGGGCCGATTACTACATGCTATCTGGGGACTTTACTAAGTGTCAGGGCAACAAAATTTAATAAACAAGAAGATTTCATTTCATTAAGTGATTTCATTTGTAGAGAAAATATTGTCTTTTTGCTTTATTTCGCGAAAATGGTTCTAAACAAAGCCATGTTGTGCATCTCTGCACACAGCAGTGTTTCCTTACTGAATGGATTTCGCTTTTTTAGAATGCGTCAGTGGTTCACTTACCCATTCATTCACCATCCCATTAAAAACCTTAGGCTAGTTACAGGGGCGGCGCTAGGGGTGGGCTAAAGGGGCTGAAGCCCCGAATCTTTTTATTACCATAACTTGTGCGCATCTAGATTGAGTTTTCATGTGCATTAAAATCAATTATATTAAACCAGCACTTAAACAGCAAAATCCATCTACTGCCGAGCTCGGGCCGATTACTACATGCTATCTGGGGACTTTACTAAGTGTCAGGGCAACAAAATTTAATAAACAAGAAGATTTCATTTCATTAAGTGATTTCATTTGTAGAGAAAATATTGTCTTTTTGCTTTATTTCGCGAAAATGGTTCTAAACAAAGCCATGTTGTGCATCTCTGCACACAGCAGTGTTTCCTTACTGAATGGATTTCGCTTTTTTAGAATGCGTCAGTGGTTCACTTACCCATTCATTAAAAAAAACAATTTCTTACTTTGTTCCTGAATGAATCAGCCGTTTTGAATGAATCGATTTAATAAGTGATTCAACGACTCAGTCATTAAGACAGTGGCTTGCTGCCACCTACTTAATTTTAGTACCTAATTTTAGTCTCATTTTTTTTAAAGTATCATTCTATTTTTTAATTATTAATTAAATATCATTTAATTAGGGCTGTGCAAAAAATCTAATGCAATTTTCATGCGCATCTCGTCAGTAATGCCGCTTCTGGTGATTAGTAGTAAATCTCCAGCACGTGCTTTCAGATGGAGCGCATTTACTACACAGAGCTGTAGTTCACTGACAAGCTACACAAAATTGCGTTCAAAATCGGCAATGAATCGCCTGCGATTTTGAACGCGATTTTGTGTAGCTTGTCAGTAGGCCTTATCAGCCAGGTGGACAGTTAGGTCCAATCCCAATTCCACCCCTTAGCCCTTCCCCTTTCGTGAACGCGCGAAACGGAGGGGTAGGGGTGTCTCGATTCAACCACACTACAAACAAAGGGGTATGAATTATCTCAGCGTAAACCAGCTTCAGTGGCAACATGGCTGCCTGAGCGAACAAAAAGACTCATAAATGTAAGCATTTTTGGCATTAATAAAGATTTTAATAAAAAGTAATAATTTGTTTTATGTTACATTGTTACAAATGCTTACATTTAGTACCTAGGATAGCAAAGTCCACTAAAGGAGGTAGAGCTTTTTCGCATTTGGCTCCCAAACTCTGGAATAGCCTTCCTGATAACGTTCGGGGTTCAGACACACTCTCTCTGTTTAAATCTAGATTAAAGACACATCTCTTTGGCCAAGCATTCAAATAATGCATCTCATAATCTTTTACTGCAGTCATAATCTTTTACTGCAGTTATATCTAATCAAATGCACATTATTATTCTTTAGTTTGGGTTAAACAAATCATTTTTGCTTGGTTGGAACAGCAGCTACGCTAATTATGTTTGTATTTGTTTCTCTGTTTTTTGCCACTAGGATTTACACAAGCTTCAGTCTGGATCCAGAACACAACTCCTCAGAAGATGCCAACCCCTCAGAGGACCTCAGATGATGCCAACCCCCCAATTTGTGTTTACTATTGTCATTTTGCATTATTGACACTATTTTCCTAATTAATGCTGTTCAGTTGCTTTGACACAATCTGTATTGTTAAAAGCGCTATATAAATAAAGGTGACTTGACTTGACATGACATTCAATCGTGAGTTAATATTTACGGTCATGTTACTCAAAGAAATGTTTGCAAAAAATCGCTAAAGTTTGCTAACGTCATATCATTACAGACTGCACGATAGTGCCACAACATATTTTCATGCCTGATCAGGGCAATAACCACCATAGACATTGAGCAGGGCTAGTACCCCCAATAATTATAAATCGCTAAACCCTTTTCTCAAATATTGCCAATTCGAGAGAGAGAGGGAGAGACAGAGAGAGAGAGAGATGAAAGTTGTGTGTATGTGCATTTCTCTTTTTAGAGTGAGTTTACTTCAAAAACAGCGATTTTATCCTCTCGTTTCTGGACAAGTTTCTTTGCTCCTGGATATGTGAGCTGCGTAATATCTGATGTGTGTGTGTGTGTGTGTGTGTGTGTGTGTGTGTGTCAGTAAGAAGCGCATTAATATAGAACGGTACAGGTGTGCATACTGTAGGAGCTAGACGATGTATGATGATGTGTGACATATGGTAGTGGTGTCCCAATTCTTAGAGGAATATTTTCACTCCTACCACCTGACACTTTGTTTCAAGGTACAAGGGGAAGGGGTAGGGGAAGGGGTATAAAATAGAATTGGTATTGGGCCTTAGTCTGCAGGGTTTGAATGGCAGACTGAGATCCGCTCCCAGCATGGCCGTAGAAGTTTGTGGCGATAGTCTCTTAAAAAGGGGGGCATGTGCACATACCCATAGGGCTTCTGCCCCATCCAAGTGTGAGAACAGAGACTGCATAGGAGCATCGACATACCGATTGGGGTGCAAACCACGACTCCACCAAGTGCTCATGCACGTCTGAGAAGAACGGTATCTTCCTACTTGATGCAGCTTGGCGGTGGCCTGAATGGAAATACCAGGAGTCGAGCTTACTCCTGGCAGGTTCATCCAGAGCCTCCCAGCTCAGATCGAGCTCCTTTACCACCTTGGCAAAGACCCTGACGAGCTCCCCATGTAGGTCCACAGGGCCCTCAGTGCCGGGGAGATCCAGCTCCGACACAGGTGTGTCGAAGCAGTCGTCCACGAAGAGGGCTGGGGAAGGGGATGTTGGCGAGGAAAGGGGGGGGGGAGTTCACCAGTGGCTCGCAGGTGGCAGTGGGCCTCGTCAAACCTGTCAGTATTTGCATGCGATTTGCATAGATGAGTGTCAATTGGCCAGTTTATTTAACTGGCGTTATGCTATAAAACTTCAGGATTTCAGGGAAGGGGAGGAGTTCCCACATGCAATTCTCATAATGTAGAATGAACGCTCAATAGGGAACTTCTTTTTCTTAGACTAGTTAACTTATGATCACGTTTCCCTCATTCCTGTGTTCAGTGCCACCATGAGGAGCCATGAAGTAGCAATGCTGGAAGCAGGTAAATCTATTTAGAGAGTCTCATTTTATTAATGAAAATATCGATATTTGGCACCAGCATATTGATTGTCATATTACATGAAGGACAACAATATATTGCCATATCGTTGCATATTTTTGTCCCACCCCTAATCAGAGAATAAAGAAAGATTAATAGAAGACAGAACAGATCGGCAGATAACATGGACCTCTACATTTCTGATACGTGAGGATTTATGAGCACAGTTTGGTGTTATTTATGCCAAACAGATGGTCTTACTGCAATGTCAAGTAAACCAGCATTGGCAGTGGAATTGAAAACACTCCTCTTGGGACTATAAGCTTACATAAACATGTCCTCCGACTGAAGTCAAGTACAGATGACTCTTTTTTTTCCTTTTTTTTAATAAATCAAAAAAAAAAACAGCAAAGAAGTTGCTTCAAGGTTATATCTTTGTACTCCCTTTGGTGCTCTTTGGAAAGCACAACATCCACGAGACTCAAGGGGTTTCATATTAAAAAGCCTTTCATAAATGAGATATATTAAAAACAACAATGCATTGTGGCGGATTGAAGAGTGCGTCTCAAAATGTGGATTGCAACACCGTAATCTTAAAATAATAATAATAAATAAACTTTTTCAGTTGTGATATCCCTTTACAATTTGTTATCACATCAGTCCACATATAGGTTTCTTGTTCATTTAAATACAAGTTAATGCCATGTATATCAAATAAAGACATTGCTAGACTGAGAGAGAGACAGAGAGGGAGAATGAAAAAGTGAGCAAGTGAGCTGCTTGATTGTTTTATTTCTGTCAAATGAATCTATCATCCAGACATTTACCACCTTTCAATTCAGATTTAATCATAAAACTAATTCTGTGATACATTACACACCTTTTTGAGCTACAAGCCTCTGGCCTGTCAGCGCAAAAGCAAATGCATTCCTTATGCTGTCCTTATTTCTTTCTACAGTGTATTGTGATGGATTTCATTCTGGCTGTGTCTTTGTTCTGTGATATGGCGTTTATTGATGCTGAGATAATTGTCTTTGCTCGGATGATTACCCTTAACATATCAG